CAAATAAAACATTCAGAATCCAAAATTATCTCCCCGACCTGAACTTGGTGTGTGTCGTCATTAGAAGGATAAACACAGAAAAGGAGGCACATTCTTGAGACAGAGTGAAGCTTGTTAGAGGCAGAGTCACAGCCTCAGCCTCCAGCGGAAGTTCCAAGAGTGCTACCTCCTGCCAGAGTGCATGCAGACAATCTCAAAATGAAAAAGGAGAAAGATGGAGGCACCAGAGGTTTTGATGGCATTTTGGACACACAGTTCCAGCAGGTAAAACAGAATGGCTCTAGAATGAAATCAAACACAGAACAGCCAAACAGAACAGAGTGTCCAAACAACCCCACTCTCACACACCCAACTGTTCTCTATTTCAGGAACCAAGAATCATGATGGGGAGAGAACAAGCCCTTTAATAAATAGTACCAAGAAAACTGGACATACACATTCACATGTGGAGGTATAGAGTAGAAGGAAGGCAAGCAGCAGGAGATGGAATCTCAATCATATATGATACTCAAAAATCACTTTAGTAAAAAAGACTAAAACTTAAATATAAGACCAAAGCTGATAAAAAGGCTAACAGAAAAAAGATGAGGTTGACCTTGCCTTTGAGTTTTGTTATGTTTTGTAAGAACCAAGAACAAAGAACTCAAAAGCAACTATAAACAAATACACAGAATTCCATCAAATACACACAAATGATTCTGTATGGCAAAAGCATTTTCTCACAAAAGTGAGAAACCAATCTCTCAATCTGCAAAACTTGCAGCAGCTAACAAAAAAAAGGAAATCTAAGCACATACTAATAGATGAGTGGATGAAGAAAATGTGTGCATGTGTATATGATAGAATATATTACAACTGAGGCCTAAAAGTGAAAGTTTTTCAGTTGTAACAATGTGGAGGAAACCAAACTGTGTGAAATTGCAGAAAAAAAAGAAAAGGCAACAGAAGGGGTAGTTGTCATTATGGGTAGGTTGTGGGGTAGGTGAAGTGCAGACACATTGGGTCCTGAACTTTGGTTATCATATAAGTTGAGTATTGGATGAATGTATAACATAGAAGTTCTGAAGTTAATAGTGTGTTTTATTCACTTGAATTTATCTTAGAAAACCTGCATTGCAAAACAAGAGGACTGTGATAATATCTTGTTTGTAATGGTCACTTCTCAATACAACCCAGGACATTCATAAGACTGTGTGCCTCTATATACAGAATTGTATTTGTCAGTTGTATAATCAGTAAAAGCTAAGGGGTGTGTGGTCACAAGAACTGAATGACTACAGAGAACTTAGGCATAGGAGAGAAAAATAAGAAGCAAGCCATAAAGAGTGAGTAATGAATGTGACTAAGTTTTAAAGCCCAGTACTTTTTTAAAAAATAAATATTCCCTCTTATTTTTTTAAAGGGAAAACTAAAACCTAATTTATTGACTCCTAAATGAATTGTATACACTTGAAATTCTGTAAACCAAGAGCTGAGGGCACGGGACATCAAGGGCACATCATACCAATGACTGAAATGACTGAAGATGGACCACCATGACTGACAGAGACCAGCAGACTAGAGACACAGTGAGCAGGAGAAAGTGCTATCCAGATCTACCCTCGGAAACATCAGCCCACTTAGCTAGATTCTCTGTTCTACGTGAGGGTCAGATTTCTTCTCTTGGTTAAAATCAAATGAACAAATGTGGGTATTTCAGAGAAGTGTGAAATTGTCATCCTGAAAAGAAAAATAGCAGCGGTGCCAAGTGATGTCTGTGGGAGAATGAGGTTCATAGTGGGCAGGGCTTCCCATCAGCCAGCGTGTGGAACGTGGGTCCCGTAAAATGCACTCGTCACGACAAAAACTTACTAAAGAGAGACTGTCCCATCAGTGGATGGATCTGATATCACTAGGCCTGATTTTCTGCATCATTCATCATTTGGGGGTTCATTTTCCTAGCACCTTGACTCGTCTAAAGGGCTCAGTGTTGTGTTCCAGCCAGTTATCTCTATCGAGTAGGAAATCACCAGGTGTGACCCAGCTAATCCAGATGGAAAAACTGAAGGCCAGCTCAGCAGTATCACCGTGGGGACTTGTAGTCACGGAGTTCAGGTGTGTTTGAGCTGCTGGTAGCAAGGCAAGTCCTAGCTACTTCACTAGACATTACTGCCCCAACCATTCAGGGAGGTGACTCATGGAATTCAACTCTCAGGGACTTTGAATGTTGAGCTTAGATACATCTCGGTAATTCAGAAATTAACCTTTGCTGATATCCCTCACAGCTGTAAATGTACCTTCTTAGGTGATGGCCACCACACCCAATCATTCGGAGTGCTTTTACCAGGACTCCAGCCTTCGCTTGTGAAATCAGGTACAGTATCGAGGGATGGTTTATCTCACTTCTCAGATCAGTGAAACAGAAAACCAAACAGAAGACAATTATCTCTTCATTACTCCACCCCACGGAGAATGTCTCTCGATGTCAGTCAACTGGTCATGAGTGTCTTCAGATGGGGAAGAGCAGAAGGAGTTGTCTGGGAAACACAGCAGGGGTGATGTGTGGTGGAATGGTGCTGTAGGTGATATGAAGGAAGAGACTGGAAAATTGCTGAGTAATATTGTTAGAACAGGAGGTTGAGACATCACTGAGGGCTGGGACTCAGTGGTACCCAAACATCATCCTTTCCTTTCTATCTTAACATCAGCACTATAGTTTTTTTTTTTTCAGATGTCTTAATCTCTACCTGCACAGAGGAGGGTCTATAGACTAGCCTAAAGGTCTGATAATCTTTCCTTTACTGTTTCCTGTCAACCCACTTGTTTTCCCTTGTAACATTCCAAAGAGATACAAGTTCCACCTCACAGCAAACAATTCCCCATTTCCTTTGTTTTCAATGTTCTCCAAGAGTGAAAGGTAAAAGTCTACACCACTGAGCAAGTCTTGTATCTCTTTCCAGCAAACCAAGGCAGCCTAATTGCAGGTAAAAGATAGAACTTTCATAAGTTAGGTATTAAATAGATGGTTTTAAGAGGCAGTGGTAAAGACATTTTATACTTAAAAGCTTTCTCTCTCTCTCTCTCTCTCTCTCTCTCTCTCTCTCTCTCTCTCTCTCTCTCTTTCAATGAATATCACATATGACTCCAGGTCTCTGAAGGTCAGAAAAATGCAAAGTAATGACAGAGACAAGGAAAGAGATCAATGGTTTATTGGAAGAAGAGGGACATGATAGTTTGGTGGTTCAGGGGACTTAAAAGGGGACAGAGAGAGACTTTTACGGGTGGTAGATAGGTTCATTATTTCTATAGTTGTGAGATTTTTGATGGGCACTTGTGTATGTGACACACACACACACAATTTTCTTAAAACAATTTTAAAAAGATTTTTGGCAGTCCTTGCTGGGGGACTTTGGGCTGTACTCCAGATATGATAGGAACAGAGTGTTTCTGCAAGTAGAGGGACTTAGCATCACAAATTAGATTCAGTCTCAACAGTCCTGGACCTCATATGGTCCTCATATAAAATAAGCAGTTACACTAAGCTGCTAGATTTCATTCATTATGTCCGATGCATATTATGCAAATGATGGTTTGAGAAACTTTCTAGTCAGTTTTGGCTCTCATGTGGACAGTGAAGCAAAGTGAAGGAGTTGATAAACGTTTTCCACCAATGAGCTCCACTTCTTCACATAATTAGTAAATCAAAGTCTATGTAACAAAGTGGTGGGCATTAGCTTTCTTATTATTGTCATCAAATATCTGACAAGGAGTGACACAGGGGTGGCCGGAGAGGTTATCTAGGCTCACACTTTTGACAGAGCAGTCTATGTGTGTGCGGTGGGTACGGCAGTTGCTGGTAACTGTGGGGGAACAAGTGTGAGGTGGCTTGTTCACATGTCTAATTACCATGGAGCACAGAGGATCAGGAATATAAACCTGAAGGCCCTCCCTCGGTGACACACTTCCTCCACTAAACCTCCGCTGCCTGACTATTTTACAACCTACCAGGAAAGCACTGGTAACTGGAGACTGACCAGGTGACACGGGAGCCTGTGGGGGGACAGTTCACATTCAGACCATAACCCCAACCAACCAACAATGAACATCATTCACCACCAAGCTTGATAACCTGGACTCACGAAGGGATGGCAGGTAGGAGTCATGTATTTTACTACAAGAAGAAAAAATGAAAGTCGTATGCAAGCGACTAGTTAACAATAAAGCTTTAGAATTAGATTTTCAGAATTGAAATCTTTTTTTCTATTTTTTGAAAGTTATTCTGGACATTTTATTTATCAATGTCTTAATTCACTAATATATAAAATGGGGTAGCAAAAGGTTTTATCACAATGACCATCATTTGAATTTAATAAAAACATCTATTATGCATGTAAGGACCGCCTGTACCTCAACAGGACTTGGCATTCAGTCATTAAATACAATTTTAGGTCACAGTTGCTAATAATGAACTGAGGGTTGACAGCAGGTCGACAACATACAAATTGTAAGTGAGTTGGGTGGTGGTGGCACACGCCTTTAATCCCAGCACTTGGGAGGCAGAGGCAGACAGATCTCTGTGAGTTCGAGGCCAGCCTGGTCTACAAGAGCTAGTTCCAGGACAGGCTCCAAAGCTACAGAGAAACCCTGTCTCAAAAAAACAAAAGAAACAACAACAACAACAAAAAATTGTAAGTGAAAACCAATGTTCTTGACAATTAAAAATAATAGTAATATTGCCCTGTGCCAGTTTAGTACTGGGGTTTTCCTGTGTTTTTTATCTCTTAGTTCATTGCATCATCTAGAATCCCACTCACAGTGGCTACTACCATCTTTGCCACAAAAGTAAGGGACTTAGTGGGACAGCCTTGTTTACAGCACCACAGCTACTTCGTGCCTAAGTCTTAAGTCAAAAGCCAATTTAACTGCCATCCCCATGCGCCACCTCAGCGAGGAGCAAGGTAGACTTCCCCAGATTCAGATTTCAGAGTATCAATTGCTTTCTTTTCTCATTAGAAACTTACTGGTCGGGACTGGATTTCTTTGGCGTAGAGAGGTTGTAAGAATTCTGAGTCTCCTTCTAGCTTCAGACCCTTTTCTGTGATTCTTAAGTTCCCCATTCCATCCTGAAATAGACACACAGACACAACAGGGAAAATATGATGAGCTCACATTTTAAAATACCCCAGGCTATCAACAATTGAAACAGTTATTGCCTTCTTCCTTCCTTCCTTCCTTCTTCTTCTTTTTATAATTCTCAGTAGTGAGATGAGGGGAATCCAAACGAACATAAAATACCAGGAGGCATTGTTCAATACAACTATGCATATTATTCTTCTTGCTCACTTTTACCAAGCAAATTCTATTCTGAGAGTGCCCCTTAGCCACGGACTTACACTGAAAGAGGAGGCCCTCATCCCCAAGCTACACAGAGCAGAGGAGGCAGGAGCAGGGAAAAGGATGATTCTCTAAGTGGAAATGAAATACCCTAGTTCCCAAATCCCTTGCAGAAATTTCATACTAACAGCTTGGGGTCAAATTGTGTCTGCATATGATTTGTTAGGATCCTCAGACATTTGAGAACTCTAATTAGTGATTAGCACTTTAAAGAGTACGTTCTGTGTTAATGCTGAAAACATATTCAAAGGTAGAAAACTTCGACATTATCTACCCACTTACCCCCCACCTTCAACATGTATCAATTTGTATCAATTTGCTACCTATCATGCCCGCCTCCATTTTCCCACACCCTTCCTCAAAAATAATCCAAATACCATTTAAACGATTGCAATGCCTCTTGACAATCATACCTTAATATCAAACATAAAATATCAAACCCTAACAATCATTCTTGTGTTAATAACAAATACCCATATTAATGCCCACACTTAACTGGTAATATGTTTTACTCTCTAATAATTTGCTTATTTGAAAGACATTTTCTACCATTATTGCCTGATTGAAAATGCTAGGTAGCTTCCTATAGCCTCCAAGCAGCATTTCTGTAATGAACCACTTACCCATATTTTCCCAGACATTGAGGCTTCTGTATTCACCCATTCTCATCCGTCTCATATCCCCCTCCTTTTTGTATTTCTCTTTATTTTGATAAAATACAATGTCTGTTCTCTTTCCGTGCCTCATCATCTCATATAGGTTTCTCTGACTGCTGTATTTTCTGTAAATTGTCAGTTACATCAGGAGCCTTGACCAGTCTCGGACTGAATTTTCTAGGACTGTATCCAGAGCAAATTCTAGGAAACGGGGTGTATTTGTTTTCTATTGTTTTAATGAACCACGACATAAACTCGTTAATATTAAACAACAAAAATTTTGCGTCTAATATTACTTAATGTTTGAATTCTTCCTAAGGGCCCATGGGACTAAATTCCAGGTGCTAGAAGGGCTGGTTCCTTTTGACACAGTTGAATGAGAACCTTTTCTGTTGTCTAGCTTCTATAGGCTTCTCCCAGTCCTGGGTTCATGACCTATTTCCACCGTCAAAGACCATAGCGGCCAGTTGAAAAACCACTAAGCACTCTGACCATAGAGCAAAATTCTGTGATTTCCTTGGTCTTCTGACTTCCCTAGGCTCATGTTAATACCGTCAACTGGACAGGATCTAGAATTATCTAGGCGACAAGCTGCTCGGGATACTCCTGAGATATTACCTACAGTATGGCAGCCTCCTGGAAACTCTGTGTGGAGGTTATCTGAATTAGGTTAATTGAGGTTGGAAGATCCACCTTAACTGTGAGTGGCAGGGTTCCACGGGCTGATATTCTGGACTACAGAAGAGGGAGAAAGCAAGTTGCATACCAGCATTCAGTGCTCCATGCTTCTTGAATAAAGATATAATGTTACAAGCTGTTTCAACCTCCTGCTGCCAAGACTCCCCCCACCCCCAATAACTAGCCCTTTTAGCTGTGAGCGGAAGTAAACTCCTCATTCCTTGAGCTATTTCTGTTTTGTGTTTCAGTTGTAGCAATGAGACAAGCAACCAATGCAGCTAATTTAAGGCGACCTTGCCCTTCTGCCTTCTGTGATCACCTGCTCACACAATTCTATCCGCAACTTAAGCTTCGCCATAGGGTGTGGCTCTCTTTGGGATGGGGGAATTTTCTGTTTGCTACCTGGACTGTTTTTCTACCAAGAGGTGCATAGCATTCTTGCTATGATGCTATCAGCGACTGCTGATCTCTGTTAGAAGGAGTCACCATTTTACTGGAAGTTAAAACAGACAATACCCTGGTCCCATTAATTCCTATTGAGAAAATTTCCATTTCCTTCATTATTTACCTGCCTTAAGTTACATGTTGCAGGGAAATGTAAACTTCTTTATTCACTGGTATTCAGAAGACTGTGTGGAGGTAGGGAGATCAGGAGTTTCAAGGTCATCTTCAGCTGTACATTGAGTTCCAGGCCAACCAGAGCTACATGAAACTCTCTTGGTCTCTCCCAGTTATTTTGCTAGTTTGATTTAGTGAATGTGCATACAGAGCATCTTCAGAACCCCCAATCCACCCCAACCCAACATTATGACTAATAAAAACAACTGAAATTTTGCCAGCCCTGAAAAATCCTAGAGGCATCGTCTCCTGGCAAAGTACAAATGCTGGGGCGTCAGGCCCTGGAACACTAGTGTGTTGTCATGACACCTACCCACAATGATAGTCAACCTCAGTGTCTCCGTGTCCTCTCTAGTCCTTTCATTCCATGCCATTTTTAAAGTCTTGTTTTGAAGACTTGTAAACTATGTGTGCGCTTTGGCTTTATTGCTCTCTGTTTCCTAGTAACTCTTGAAAACTGAAATCTCAGCAAGCTCCTGTCAATTCTGGGTGGGCCTCTCACACTGCTGCTGCCTCCTTGCTTTAAAGACATCACATAGTCTCCCCACCCTATTTCACAGAGACGCGAGAGCTCAGACTCCCACAACAGCTTTCTATTACAGACATAGCCATCAGGTGTGTGTCTCAAACATTCCTCCCTGCTATTTCTGGGATGGAGCTAAATGACAAAATCGGCAGCGGGTACTTTTCCCCACCCCTTTTTATAAGCACGTGCCAGCCTATAGGTGAGAAGAGATCTTAGAGAGCCACATCGCTGATTTACTGTCCACGTTCCTGTTATTCTTAGTTCTGGCGTTTAGAGACACAGCTCTGCCAATCTGGCCCCAGATGAGGCATTCAAATCCTGTCAGAGAGGCCACAGAGGCTGGTGGACATGTATGCGTCTTGGCAGTAGCAGGAATAACTTGCAATAAAGGGAAAAGAAGAAATCAGAGGAGAGCAGAGATAGAGAAATAAGTAAAGCCCAAAAAAGACAAACCTGTTCCAACAATAGACTAAGCCCTGATAGTGGTAGTTTAGCTTTTGTCTCCATCTCTCTCATGGCCACAAACACACCACAACCTTGCCAACTTCCCAGTTCACAGAAGTTCCTCATAGGCTCCTATGCCCTATGCTTTACTTTTCGAGTCTTCTTCCTGCTCTCTGTGCCTTTTAAAAAAATACTTGGTGGTGTTAAGTTGATTAAATAATGTGAGGTGGTTGGCTTCTGATTGCATAAACACGGCAGAGCCCAGGGGTAACTAAATGCCTGCCTACCTTTAGAGTGTCTCCTTCAGAGCCTGTGCCAGAGACGCATCAGCAATATCTTGCACCAAATTCATCTGAAATGATTATTGCATCTTTAAGTACAATAAGCAGGTGAAGGTAGGACTAAGATAGCATTTGCAGGAAAGACCCGAAGCCTAGCTTTCCTCCTAACAAACTGTAAAGAGATATTTATTGCCAAATATATAAAATATGTGTTTTAAACAAGCTGCTGATGTCTCCCCTGTTTGAATGGTAAAATTTCAGTTTCCTTAAGTATCAGGAGAGGCAAAGAGCTCTCACTGGAGCGAATCCCTCACTCAAGGGTTGCAGAGAACCCTCAATGTTAAGGGACCACAGATATGAGTGTGACCCCAATTCTCTCTTAGTTGAAACCAATACAGGGCAGGGTCTGCTGTTTGGCCAGATATCAAGATATCTGGAACTTTCCAGGCGAAGTGGATCTGGATGCTGGCCTTGAGGCCTGGTGGCTGTGGAGGGGTACGATGTGGTTTGAAGGAAGAGCGCTGTCTTGCTCCCGTGTGCTTCCTGCTGCATCAGCATCAGCCAGGGTTTAAGGCTGTCAGCACATTTGAGTCTTGAAGTGAAGCCAAGTGCTATTTTAGTAAGCACTCACGTGGCAATCTCTTCCTGAAGCAGTTTTAATGGTAGGCAGGAATTAGATTTGGACCAAGCAGGAAATGATATTAGGCAATACAAAGACTGCACGAGAACGTGGACTTGATGGGCGCGTAGGCTTTGGGCTATTTTCCTCGCCGCTAGACATTTGGTTTCTAAAATCTTGCCTGGGAAGAAGTACCCATTCAACAAATGCGTTGAAGTGAAAGAATTTATTCATTCTCAATAGAGATATTCTGTAGCTGAACAGTGATGTTACTTTCCATGGGTTTAGCTGAAAGAGATCATAAGTTGGAAATACCACTGGTAGAAAAAGCATTTGTTTTGTGGCATACACTGAGTATCACAGCTTAGCACCTGCTCGCCCTTTGATTACAAGACTGACAGAGCTGTTGCCCACTGCTCTACCCAGCACCCCTCAGTACCCAGACAAAGAGGAGCCCATATGAGGTCTGATTTCTACAGAATGTGATCAGCGTCACACACTTTAAAAGCCAACATATTTGTCAGCCGAACGATGTGCAGTAATCTTGTGCAGTTACCTTTGGAAATGCAGTGGCTGGGTGGGGGTGGGGTTACAAAGCTGCTAACGTTGGGTCTGCTCCCTTACCAGCTTCCAAACTGTTAGAATACGCTTTCTCAACCGGGATGGGCAGGCCCAGCATGCAATACTACTTAATGACAAGTTTAAAGAAAGAAAAAGAAATCTTAGGTTTTCTTTCTAGAAGACAGAAATGTTTTTATATACATAGGGTACAAGCCCATCTTGAGGAGAGGAAGCCAATAATGAAAGAACTGTTAGGGAATTAGAACTTGTAAATACAATATCCTTTGGGAATTTCATTCATGTATGTATTGTATTTGATCACAGTCACCTCTCTCACGCTTCCCGA